TAAGGACTAACACATAGCTGTCTTCTCCCACCCAAGTGTCTCTTTTAGAGCCTGATACGTCATTCAAGAACAGAATAACTGCAGTCAGTAAAGCATAGCTTTAATGACTGACAACCTGTCCAGAGAGGGATCAGAAGCTTTGCTTGCTCCTGGTTGACCTCGTCAAATGGCTCCTCCATGCTGAGCAGAGGACCCTGAATTGCAGCCTTGTTCAACAGCAGCACCCTTCCCACCAGGGCTTTGATGGAGGGAACCCAGTCCTGCATCCCTCATGCAGCTGTTTTCCATGGGATTCACTCCCAGTTTACACAAGCACAAAGCAAAGGAATCATAGAATCATTGAATCATTTGGTTGGAAAAGACCTTTAAGATCATCGAGTCCAACCGTACCTGTCCACTACTAAACCAGGTCACTAAGCACCTTGTCCACTTGTCTTTTAAATATCTCCAGAGACGGGGACTCAGCCACGTCCCGGGGTGGCCCGTTCCAGTGCCTGGTCACTCTTTCAGTGAAGAAATTTTTCCTAATATCTAATCCAAAGCTCCCCTGGCACAACTTGAGGCCATTTCCTCTTGTCTTATCACTTGTTACCTGGGAGAAGAGACCAACACCCACCTCGCTAAAACCTCCTTTCAGACAGTTGTTAAGTTCATAAGGTCTCCCCTCAGCCTCCTCTTCTCCAGGGTAAACAACCCCAGTTCCCTCAGCCACTCCTCATCAGACTTGTGCTCCAGAGCCCTCACCAGCTCTGCCTCAATGTCCTTCTTGTAGTGAGGGACCCAAAACTGAACACAGTATTTGAGGTGTGGCCTCACCAACATACCGGGGCACGTTCACTTCCCTGCTTCTGCTGGCCACACTATTCCTGATACAAGCCAGGATGCTGTTGGCCACCTTGGCCACCTGGGCACACTGCTGGCTCCTATTCAGACAGCTGTCGACCAGCACCCCCAGATCCCTCTCTGCCAACCAGCATTCCAGCCACTCTTGCCCAAGCCTGTAGCATTGCATGGGGTTGTCGTGACCCAAGTGCAGGACATGGCACTTGGCCTTGTTAAATCTCATACAGTTGGCCTTGGCCCAGCAATCCAGCCTTTCTAGATCCCTCTGCAGATCCCTCCTCCCCTCAAGCAGATCAACATGTGCACCTAATTTGGCG